CACATTGCCCATGAAGTAAATTTGAAGGAATTTATGTTGTGCGTCTTCAACTGGTAGCAATGATCCAATTCGATGGTGAATTTGGCCTTGGATCTGTAGAGTCAATTACGAAATTARATTCAATATTTTTGTGCATCAAAAGAAAATGATCGGTTAATTTATAACCTTGAATGTCGGATTGAATCCGCGTTCATGAATAATATCTGCTCCAAATGAAGTCATTTGAAAGCAGCCGTTGTATTTCTGAGCGTTCGATAGAAAATGACGTGATTCTGGTGTTTCTCCAGTAAGCAAAGAACGCAATGGCTCTGTTGGCAAGGGCAATGGTGGTAATTTAACCTTGCCACCGAGACAGCACAGTCSAGGTGTTTCTCCAGCGAACTTTAATTCACCGCAATGGTTGCACACAACCTCCATTGGGTGAATTTTAACGGAAGGATGCGAGCTGTAGTCAATTCTGCATAATGAAACGCTACTCGATCCAAATCAACACTTRAAGCACTTSKTCTTATTCGTTGATTTAGATTATCACGTTGTTGAGTTGTTTCATTTGCCCGACGATTTCTCATTGTTAACTGAGCCGTTTCATTGTCCGCCTGTCTTTCTTCTTGTGTTCGGGCCATACTAACACGGCGCTGTTCTCGTGCGATTTCTTCTCCATCCGTCGTCAATTGAGAGGCAATATTCCGAACTCTATTTGCATTTCACGTTCGATGCGAAAGATTAGATCTTTTAGCTCGTGGCWTTCTGAATTACACTGAGAAATGAACACACAAAACATATGCTCAAATGTCATAMCCTCACAAAATAAACATCTTTCTTGGCAACTTACCGTTTGAAAATAGAATTCCACACCAATATGGTCAATCAGAATAAAATGAACATCGAACTCGAATTTATTTTTCAAAGTAGGTGGAATACTCATTGAAAAATTCATTGAACAACCCGAAATTAACGTTTGGGTTGATTATCGATGGGCACGCAATAACAAACATCATAGCCATTTACAATGAACATTTCATCAAACTGAACTCACCATTTTCACAAAAATATTACCAATAAAACACGGCTATGTCAAAATAATATATTAAATCAAATTGAATTTCAATTTCACAAAAATTTTACCAATAAAACACGGCTATGTCAAAATAATATATTAAATCAAATTGAATTTCAATAACTAACGAAAGGCGATAAAAGCTTAAGAAAATGTCGTTATTTAAGTTACTAAACTGAAGTCACATATGTCATTGCATATGCATGCAGCATAATGCACACAACGCCATCTACTGGCAATACAGCAACAGCATTTAAAATCATGTTCGTATACTTGAAAATTTATTTTC